GAGTTTAATGCCTCAATCCACCATATTTCTCCACAAGAGAAAGCTATTTGTGGGAGAATTTCCTTCTCCTGCATGTAAAGCAAAGGATTTGGGTGGGGAAATAAGAGAGCAGTTTCATACATAGGCGCACTGAGAAGAAGGCATTCCCGAGAGTTGCCGTTTGCCGGAGAGAAAAATTGTGTGCTTGAATCAGACCCATGTAGCAAATTCATACCCCGCTTCACCACACCAAGAAAGCAAAACATTTGGCCTAGCAAGGCAAAATTACTTGCCGCTGTTGGAGCAAGCAAGCAAGCAAGCAAGCCTCGTCTGGAGGTGCCCGTTTGCCCAAATCCGAAGCAAAGAAATGGCTTGGAAGTACGAGATGGGCACGGGCATTTTCCTTAAGCACGTTGATTGGGAGAATACCAAGAAATGAAAAACTTTAAAAGCTTTAAAGCAAGATTAAATTTCTCAGAGAGAGAGAGGGAAAGATCACCAAGCAAACAAACCTGGGAACGCACCCAGGAGCAAATGCCTGAGCATGGATCCTAGCAAAATGCCCTTTCCTTAAGAGAGCACAGTGCCTTTGGCATGGGAGTGATAACTAATCCCGAGGTGTGTTCGATCACCACCACAATGTGGGCTGCTTAAGTTACTGCAGTGGTGTAAATCGGGAGAGTTGCCTTAAGAATAAAATCGATTTACACCAAGCACGCTATGCTCAAAAGCAACTGGGAATCCATAAAGTTGCAAATCCCCCATCACATGGCCCTGTTTTGCACAACACAGCAAGGCGTTGTGGACGTTCATGTTCTCCGCTCGCAACCAGATCCAGTTGGTGACTCGTAGGTCGGCGGGGATAATTTTTCACTGTACCCCTTAGCCTGAGCTTTATAGGAGCTGGATGGTTGGGGGGGGGGGGGGCATTTCAGCACCATGGAGAGCTCTCCTAAAAGTTTAGGAACAGAGTGAGTCAGAAGGGGTCTCCAGGGTCATCTATCTATCTATTTATTTATTAAAACAGTTCTATGTCGCCCCTTGCCGAAGCCTCGGGGCGGCTCACAGCACAGAATAAAATACAATAAAATACAAAAATAACAATATAAAACCAACAATATAAAATAGGTAACAATATAAAAGAAGTCGCCCTGGCCAGATAAATAAGCAAATATTGTTAACAATTAAAATGACGTTTAAATAAAAAGGTCTTCGCCTGGTGCCGAAAAACAAATAACGACGGCGCCAGGCAGACCTCTCTGGGGAGCGCATTCTCTGCTCACAACATGACATGACATGGAGCCCTTGGTCTCAATGAGTTATGAACACAAATCAGTTTCGCTTGGGGTAAGCCAGCAAGGACCCCACAGATGAGGCATTAAGATGAAGTAACTGGATAAAACAGGGATAGAACAGGGTTTCTTACAGCTCCCTGCCCCAACCTGGAAATTTTTAAAAAATTGATTTGGGTATTAAGGCAAGAAGACAACAACGGTAGGGAAAGTCGAAGGTGGAAGAAGAGAAGACAGACTATGAGAGGATGGATTTCATAACGGGGGCCCCAAACGAGTTCACAGGAACAGAGCAGGGCTGTCAAGGACTGGAAATCTTGGAGGCTATTTGGTCACAGTGTCACCGTAAATCAGATGACTTGTTTAACAGAAAACCACAAAGTCAAGGCTACCCATGGACAGGGAAATGGTGCTATCGTGTCGAGGCACACCCGACATAATTTCCACAAGGCACAGGTCTTGGTACAGAGAGGGAAATGTCTTCAGGAGAACATGCCAAGTGTGTCTCTTTTACCAACACCCCCAGTCCCTTCTGTATAAGCTGAAAATCCTGGTCCTGCCAATCTTGGAAACTTAGCAGGTTCAGGCCTGGTTTGAAAGCTGGAGGGGTGGCTTAAATCTTGTGAACAGTCCAGAGAACTTTGGCTATGGGTGATAGAGAAATGTAGTGCAAAAATAACAGGAAAAACAAAGCGGACATAGGAATGAACTAAAGATATATTTTATGTGTTACAGCAGCTTGTGTTCCGGAGGGAAATTACTGCTTCCCTGACTCCAAAAGGCACCCAAGAAATAATTTCCAGACCCTCTTCTGTGCCTGTCCACGCAGAAGTAAATTTCATTGTGTTCAATGGGACTTTCTACCAGGCAGGTAAGAATCCACTGCTACTTTCAAATCCTTCTTAAGCTATAATAATAATAATAATAATAATAATAATAATAATAATATCATAAATGCTTCCTTTGAAGCCCAAAAGGTTGGATAACCCAGAATTAAACATGACCAGCAATTTTTGATCTGCCCACCATGGAGGCAAGCACGAACAATACAACAGCAGCAACATTTTTACTATGAAAGGGGAAGAAATCTCCTTGCAACCCAAGCTGGTTTAAATGGGGAAGGGTTGCTCAGATAATGGCAACCGATTCTTACAAAAGCATCCTCATTCCCCACCCCAACCCAGAAAGGGGATTCTCATGCACACGCTCCTTAAAAAGACAAGATAAAGCCCAGCAAGGATTCCTTGAGTCTCAGCAGCGCTGCGGGTTAAAAAAGAGAGTTGACACTGCCTCGCTCCTTGCATCCTTCCGCTTCTGCTGCTGCCTTGAATAGCAGCTTCCGGCCTAATGGGGAATAATGATAGGAGGGGAGCTGTAGGCATGCAGTGAGCGATCTTCCATCGAATCCCTTTTGGGAAAGGTCAGCGTTGGACCCAACTGACTGCTCGGCTCAGAAAAGTTTGTGGCCTTTCCTTTTCTGAATGAAAACAGCCCCTTGTTTCAGAGGAGCAAGCCCTCCCTGAATCGGCCTGTTCTTAGTCTGATGTTGAAAGATGGCAGTGTTGGCACCACGTCATCTTCGGGGGGGGCGGGGGGGGAGATCAATGCATATTTTGGTGCTACCACTTAGAAGCCACTCCTTGTTGCCTCTTTCCAGGCCTTCTTTGGAGCTGGCAGCTGGAGGGGAGGCCTCAGAGGCAGATGGCTCTAGTGAGAGGCATTCTGCCAGGTGGTATCCCGAGCCGTGGAGGGCTTTCTAGGTTAAAACCAGCACCTTGAATTGGGTTCTGAAGCATGCAGGCAGACAATGCAAGCGAGCCAGCATTAGTCTTCCAGGTTTGGCCCTTTTGGTTCCACGTATTGGTTTGGCTGCTGCATTCTGCACAGCAGTTTCTGAACAGTCTTCAAGGGCAGCCCCATGTAGAGTGCATGAAAGTACTCTAGTCTAGGGATGACCAGAGCATATGTTAGTGAAACCAGACTATCCAGACAGAGGCACCACTAGGCTATCAGCTGAAGCAGGTGGAAGGCACTTCGTGCTCCTCAGGCCACCTGCCCCTTTAGGGGTAGCCTCGCCTACATTGCAGGGTTGCTACGAGGATAAAAATGGAGAGGAGGGAGTCTGGTAAGCTCCTCTGGATTTCTTGAAAGTGCACCAGTTGGTGGATATTCAGGTGATTCCTGTTGGATCGCCAAGCATTGCCTGCTCCCATTTTTCAAAAAAAGTGATAGTGGTCTTCTCCCCCCCACCCCGCTCAATTACGCAGCTAAAATCAAGGAAGCTGGGTGTGGGTGGCGGAACGGAGTCGGAAGGATGGCGTACATGCACGCAGCTCTGCTTCTGAAAAGAAGCGCTTCGGCTGCTCCTGGGCAACTTGGTGCGCGGCTCCTTTGCTGCCGAATGCCGTGGGGGGCCACGGGGTCTAGCGGGAAGTAAGCCCAAAGCCCAGCATGGGGCAGGCAAGGCGGCTCTCGCACTGGTCCTAAAGAGCGGCAAGGAGCGTCCTCCTGCCGAAGCGCTTGGTGGAGTCTGGAAGCTGGCCTGGCTGGGAAATGCGCGGGGAGCAGCGCTCGTCGGGACGGGCCTGGCCTGGCCTGGGGGGGCGGGGGGCCAGGAAAGAAGCGAGCCTCGAGCCGGGACAGAGCCCTTTCCCGCCGAGCTTCCCTGCCGGGCCGGGTCTTTGGCCCCTCGCTCGGGCTTCAGCACCGGGACAGTTCCGCGCGCTCGGGCCGGGCTCCTCGTCCGCCGCCGCGCGCTTTCCTCGAGGAACCTCCCCGCCCTCCCGGGGGCGCCCCCGCAACTCGGCCAGCCGCGCCCCCCCTCCTGCCCCCCCCGTTCTGCTCGGGCAACGATGCCCGAAGCCCCGGGCGTGTCCCGCAGGCGTGCCGGGCGTGGGGCAGCGGGGGAGCCCAGCCCTGGCTCCCCCCAGCCCAGCCCAGGCCCGCCCCCCCACTTGCCGGTGGCCGAGCCCTGCGGGGGGGGTGGGCCCCGCCAGCGGGGCGGCTGCTCCGTTGCGGCGGGACCCGCGGCTGGCGGGGGAGGCAGTCCGACCCGCGGAGAGCGCCGGGGGCCCGCGGCTCCCGCCCCGCCCCGCCCGCCGTGGGGCGCGCCGATTGGCTGCCGGCCGTCAGCTGGGCGCGCGCTGGCTCCGGAGGGGCGAGGTCCGCCGCCCGGCCGCGCTCGGCGCTCCCAGTCCGCGCTCGCAAGGCTGGGACGGCGCCGGAGCAGCCCGCGGCCGGAGCGAGCGAGCGAGCGAGCGAGCAAGGAAAGAAGCTCGCCCGCCCGCCCGTGGCGTCGCAGAGGCCCCGCCGCCCTCGCCGCCCCTGCCCACCTGTGCGGCTCTGCGGGGCCGCCGCCGCCGCCGCCTCCCCGGCGCGCCATGAGGGAGCCCTGCGCGGCCGGCTGAGCCGGTCGGCGGCGCGGCTGCCCGCGCGCCCGCCCCGGGCGCTGCTTAGCGTCCGCCCCATTCTCCGCGGCCGCCTCCCTCGCCCAGCCTCGCCCCTGCGCGGCGGCCGCGGCGCGTGTCGCCGCCGCCCCTCCTCCTGCCGCTCTTCCTCCTCCTCCTCCTCGTCCTCCTCCTCCTCCCGCCGAGGTCCAGCCCGCCCTCAGCCGGATCGCAGCCTCGGCGGCGGCGGCAGCGGCAGCGGCAGCCGCCCAGCCTCGCGCGCTCGCGCTGGGATGCGCCTGGCTCCCCTCGGCTCGGCCGCCAGCTCGACGCCCCAGCGCCCATGGCTCGCTTCGGAGACGACCTGCCCAGCCGGTATGGAGGCGGCGGCGGCGGCGCGGGGGGCCCGGCGGGGCCCGGCGGGGCCCGCGGCAGCAGCAGCCGGCAGGGACCCCCCGGCCAGCCCGGGCAGCGCCCGCAGATGTACAAGCAGTCCAAGGCCCAGCGGGCCCGGACGATGGCCCTCTACAACCCCATCCCCGTCAAGCAGAACTGCTTCACCGTCAACCGCTCGCTCTTCGTCTTCAGCGAGGACAATGTGATCCGCAAATACGCCAAGCGCATCACCGAGTGGCCATATCCTTCCTGGCGCGGCGCGGCGCGGCGAGGGGCTGGGCGGGAGGCGGCCGGGGCCGGGGCCGGGGCGGGTGGCGCAGAGCCGCACGGGGTCCGGGCAGAGCCGCGCGCGCGCGGGAAGGAGCGCCCGGGCCGGGGGCCTCGCGGGTGCCGAGGGCGCTTTCCCCCCTCGGGCGGGAGTGTTGGGCGCTCCCGGTCGGCCGCGGCGACCCCTTCCCCACCCCCTGGTCGAAACTCCGCCGAGCTCTGGCGGGGGGGGGGGCAGAAAGAGGCAAGGGCCCCCTCTGCGTGGGCGGCGTTCCCCGAAACACCCGTGGGGCAGACGCGGGGCCTCCGGTGCGCTTCTGGGGCCTCGCCTTCACCTGAAGGAGCCGGCCTCCTCGCACATGCTTGCTGCGTCTTCGCCCGAGTAAAGCAGCGTGCAGAGAGTGAACCCTCAGGGTGTGTGTGCGAGCCTCGCTGGCCCCTTTTAGATCTGGCACGGGGTGAAACCTCCCCTTCTTTTCCGGGCGAGTGTTAAGTTGTGGTCAGGCTGAAGATGTCTCAGATATTAGCAATTTATTGCCAAGTTTGTGTTCGTTGCAACAGCTGTCTTGAGTAAAGTGCGTGTGGAACCAGTAATAGCTACGTTTGGGAAAGGGCGGCTGCTTTGCTTTTCCATAGGCTTTATTGTGGGGGTGAGGTTCTGCTTTCCTTTTGCAAAACTGACTGTGCTGTTGTAGGAGGTCACCCTGCTGTAGATCCTTGCTTGTGTTTGCTAGTTTGGATTGTATTCTCCCGTCATCACTCACTGGCTTTCTGTAATGGGATATCTTGCTATCCCATCCAGCGGGTCTTTGTCCCGATAATCCATTCAGGTTGTGAAAGCACTTTTTCCCAGATGATAATTACCCCGAGCAGCAACTTTTGCTTTCTTTTAAAAGCATGTTGCATCTGTTGGCTCAATTAATCTTTTAAAGTATGGCCATTGCTTCTATTATTAGAAGCATGTTTTGTGTATGCCTTTGAGGACCGTGTGAGCCCAGCTCAGGGGAAGGGGTGCCGTGTGGGCGAAGCCAAATTCAGTCAAGGATAAAGGGAATATATTTAGGTGTGCTCCCTTCCCGTGTGTGTCCACCTAACCCATCATTCTGTTCACATAGAGATAGACCAGCTGCCTGCAGGATTCCATATGCAGGATATGGACATGACAGCAACCCTTCCGCCCATGTTCCCCTGCATAGGGACAGTGAAGCTGAAGGTAGCAAGCACAGGGGGGCCTGGACTAGTAGCCACTGTCCTCGTGAATTTGTCCAGTCCACTTTTAAAGTCTAGATTGGTGGCCAACCTTACAGCTCACAGAAGCGAATTCCATAGTTTAAATTCCGTAACTGTGGAAGAAACCCTTCATGTGAGTATCTCACAGCATTTGGCTCCTCTCTCTCGTTTTGCAATGCCTTCGGGCTGCCTGATCATTCTCGGAAGAACCTAAGAAGAGCAGTGCTGGACTGGGCCAGAGGGGATACCCAGTCTAGCACTCCGGGTCCCCAGCAGCCAAACACCCTTCCGTCCATGCTCTCTGGCAACCGGTGTACATAGGCACACTGTCTCTGATGCTGCAAGAAGCAGTTAGCCATCAGGACTAGAAGCATGGCTAGCACTCTCTTCCATGGCTATATTTAAGCTCTGTGTATTTGACTCACAAGGCTCACAGAATGTCCCCATATTCCTGCCGTTTGAATCAGTCGCACAGGGGAAACCCACGTGCTGCTTAATAGCTCTAGCTCTGTGCATCTTCTTTAGTCAGGGAATTAATCTGTGGAAGCAGAACGGCGAAACTGCTTTTTCACTCACGGCACTACCCGTCCCGTCCCAGCAGGAACTGGCTCCTTCAACGACATGCTGAGGTGTACGGCAGACCAGACCAGACACACCTGTGCTTGGATTTTAGGTAGCTGAAAAGATGTGGGGACACAGCACCCATCAATTCTACCTCGCCAACCTGCAGAGAAGTCCCATCCGGTTTTCGTGCGAAGCCTTTCTTTCTTGGTGGGGTGCAGTTGGAACAGGCAAAGGCCGAATTCTTTTGCAGAATGTGCCGAGGAAGTTCTTGCAGATGGAGCTTTAGGGTTAGGTTGCTAGGGAATCTCCCCCCCTGTGTGTATAACTTGGCTGGTACATTCCACACAGCATCCCCAGGGGCTCCTGTTGTTTTCTTTTTATCTGAAATCGCTAAGCTAATAACCCTTGCAGCAGAATAGCAACCAGATCTGTGCTTAGCAACACCGCCAGTGGTTCCCTGACCCAACTGAAAAGGGTCTGCATGTGTGGAAGGGAGCTTTCAATAGGGCAAGCAGAACCCACTGACAGCATCACCGAGTGCATTACCAAGAAGAAGAGAATTCATCTTTAGCTGGGTATTTAAAGGTAGCTGTAGCCAAGCTTGGGGTGGGCAGACCTGGGAGACCTAGTAGCAATGCAAGGGTTACATTTTGCAAGGCTGAAAGCTCTTGGTGCATCCTTGGGTGGGTGAGGGGAAGCCTGCTGGGAAGTTTCGGTCTGTTCACACACCCTCTTCGCAAAGCGTGCTCCGTGTGGCTCGTGGCAGAGTCGGCAGGTGAGGAGAAAGAGGCTGTTTCAAGACTGCAAGCTCTGGCGTATCGGTGTGTCTGGCGCAAGGTTTAAATCACACCAGTTCTGGTACCCAGAGGAGCTCTCTGCGGTGCTCAAACATTTCCTTGCCATCTGGGCCTCGACCTGCAGTTGGGCAAGGATCCAGGGGCTCTGGCATGGTGTGTTCTGCAGAGCACGGAAAGCGAATCCTGTGGAGAGACACGAGGACTCTGTAATGGAGAAAGAGCCAGTTGCTGTAGACATGAAAATAGAGCCATCTTTCCTGACAGGTTCCCGAGAGCTTGCTTCACATGGTAGCTTGGCTTGTGGGCTCAGAGGAGCAGTTCAGGACACAAGCTGGAATCCTTGAGTTCAAAACTTGGCCCAGCCCAGAACTTGGTGTATGAACCCTTTGGTAAGGTGCTGCTTTTTTAAAACTTCAGTTCTTTCCTTTGCCATTTATTTACGGCTGATAAACCGCCACCACCAACAACAACCAACCTTAAAGCCCCTAGAAGAGAGCTTTGGGTATCAGGTGCCATGGAACTGAAAGTGTTGCTATTGTTCTTGTTATTAACCTCTGCGAGTTCAGTGAATAATTTTCTACAGTCTGTCCTGATGGCTGTTATAGCATTCCATTCTCTCCTGGCACTGACAGTTTCCATCTCCGTATTCTTAACTGGCAGTATTACTTTGCAAGCTGTTAATAATCAATAACGCAGTTCTAACAACCACTCTGTGAGTTTAGGGTGTCTGCTTTTGTTTCAAATGTCACAGATGCTGCAGGGTGCGGCAGACTAAGGAAGATTTCAAAATTATTCGACAGGACTATGACTGATTTAGGAACTGGCTTTCTGGTTTACCTCAGTTATAAGGTTTAAATGATGAGGAGTTACTGAACAAAGGTTTCTTAAAAGTATACTATTGCTCTTTCCAACTTTCTGACACATGCGAAATATGCGCAATCCAGTATTTAATTAACATTAAAAATAATCCCCCTTCCTAATTAATCAAAGGCATCTTTTATAGTCAACTTTTTTTGCCTAACTGATTAATCAACTAATGCTAGAAGCCCCATTTCTTTTTTTTTTTTACAAATTGCAAATGTGATTATGGCTTAATTGGGGGTATGAAGTATTCCTCTGAAAGGTTCATGGGCTACAGAAAAATGTGGAGCTGAAAAAGTTCTCAGTCCATGAATTACTGCCATGGTTGCTGTTCCCCTTCTGTTGATGAGTTGTTTCTTTAACCGTCGTTTCTACTCCATTTGAATATATGATTTTGGCTACAATTATAGCTAACTGTATCGTTCTGGCTTTGGAACAACATCTTCCCGATGGAGATAAAACACCTATGTCCGAAAGGCTGGTGAGTATCGTTTCTTTGATAGATGGGTGGGAGAACGTGGTTTTCTCGCTGTCTTTTTTATTTTATAATTATATGTGGGAAGAACAGTTGGAATCGTTCAGCAAATAGTTTTGTAAACTGAGGAAGAAGAGAAAAGAAAAAAAAAAGACATACTTGTTGAAAGGACTGAGATATGCCAAGGAAAGTTCAAAGTGCAAAGTAGGTCTATGTAAAAAGTGATAAGGACTTTGCATGGCTTAGTTCATCATTGATTTTATGTCATACATGAATTGTTAGAACTAGATGCAAACAGATCCTTACCTTGCCTCTCCTCTCCTCTTTATGAGGGGAGTCTGGTGCTAAAGGGGGCTCAGCACTGGAACCCTTCATTTGGAAGACCCTGATCGGTTGCATCTGAGCTGGATTTTGGCCCGTATGAGTGTCACCTTTGCTGCCCTCGCTTGCATCCTTTTGCCCAGGTGTTTTCTTTCGGAACCCAATGCCCTCCTTTCCCCTGTCTGTGCATCCCTTTTAACAAAGGTGATGTGGTTCTGGAATGATACACACCGAGAGAAACGTGAGTGCGTATGTCCATCACCATATGCAGATTGCTGTATTCATTTCTTTTTTGTCCCGTGGATGCGAACTCTGGGTCTTTCGGGTGTTTGCCCTGCCCCTGGCCAGTTTGCATACCTGCATGAGCTGATAACAAGCTCTTCATGTTTTGGGATCACCTGTGCCCAGGTAGCATCCAGGAGGTCTGAAAACAGGGACATAATCAGCCTGAGGCTAGAAATGTATTTCCTTTCCTTTGGTGGGCTTTCCATTTCACGAAGGCTGTCAAAATGGTAACAATTCTTTGTAGGGTCTTCTACATTTCTAGTGAAAAGGCAGAGGCTGCTTTTCAGCTTGCAGAAGGTCTTTTCTTAAAGCACAATGTCTGCTTTATTAAGTTGAACCGTGGCAGTCAAAAGGCGACCTCACTGAATTCAACTGAGCACCACTTCTGGTAATTCTGCGGAAGGTGGCATTCATGCAGATCCCCATAAGTTGCTATGTTCTGTAGGGCATCATCATCATCATCTTCATCATAGACTGTTTTCCTCTAAGAGCAAGCCAGGCAGCTTACATAGGTCTCCTCCACCCCATTTTTCTCTGCATATCAACTAGCCTGTGAGGTGTATGAGGATTTATTTAGGAACAAGTAGCATTTTATTTTCTTAGAGAGAGATCTATTTGGGACCCCTCTGTATGGGGGTGAAGTGACGAGGCATAGGAAAGAGAAGGGGTGGTTTTGCAAAGCCAGGACTCCATGGAGCTCCCATATTCTCTTGAAGGAAAACAACAACACAGAACAACGCGAGCCCACAAAGAAAACAATTTCCCAGCAAGCTTTTTGTGATGTGGCAATTATAATATTTCAAATGCAAAGCAGAATAATTTTAGAAAGATCTCTTCATGCTTTATCAGCCTCAGTGGGAGTGGATGGTGGAGGAAAGAAGCAAACCAGAAACATTTTCCCTGCTTTTTCAGACAGTCTTTGGAATACCTTCCCAGCTAGATCGGAGTAAAGACAGTGGCCCTTTCCCTTGGGGAGATGAAACTCATGGCATTTCTCTTTCTTCTGCCTCCCAGAGAATAACACTGGGGTTATAGCCGAAGGCTGAGAAAATTTAAGCAATTCTGGGGGCATGTTTTGGAGTCAGCTCACTCCAAAGGCCCATTAAAATAGAACCAACATAAAGGACGGCACACCCCCACCCAAAATCTGCATGCAGACCCTTCTATAAAAGCTATCAGACAATAGCTAATTAGACAAGGCAGTCATCCATTTAACAAAACCCCAGTGTGACCAAATGAGTTTTTCACCAGTTTGTATTTGACTAGAACAAGAGTTTTGAGGCAGAAGATCACGTCTGGGGTTGCTTGCCCCCTCTGTTGTCCTCGAGGTTCTGAAGCTTGATGCTTTGCATCATGACTCTCCTCAGCCCTGATAATTAGCCAGGTTGGCTGGGGAATGAGAGTCGTGGTCAATTGCTTCTGGAAGGCCACCTCTTTGGACCATCATGTCCCTTCAACCCTGACAGGCAGGGGGTGTTGAATGTCCCCTCCAGCTCACCTCCTTCAGTCTGCAGTCTGAAGGAAGTGCTTTCCTGGGAGTTCTGTGTTGTGATTCTCCCAGATGCATAGATGGGGGGGGGGGGGGGGGGGGGGGGGGGGGACTCCACAGGCAATCGGCCAAAATTTGAGAGAACTGGAAGAGTTCAGAAGAGGCCACTTATGGGAAGCCTGCCTCCAAAAGTGAAGGTGGGTGTTGTGAGAAAGAGGGGTTCACTCCACAATGGAGTTGCACCTGCTGCTCCTAAAAGTTAGTTGGAACAAATCTAATTTGCCAGGCCAGCAAAGCCCAGTCTCGCAAAGAGAGCAGGTCTGCTGATTTTCCAGAACTGGCAGATTGGCATGGAGATGGGGCACACGAAGGCTCTGGCTCCATAGGTCTAGGGCACCCAAGACCCACCTCTTTCTCCACAGCAGCTTCCCCCTCTTGGTGTGCCCCAAGGGTTTTTGACTATAACTCCATACACGGGCCATGCCTGGGAGTGGAACGAAATCCAAAATGTGGAGAAGGTACCAGGCCAGGGAAATCTAGTCCGGCAGCTCCCAAACGGTGCTCCATGGAACCCTAAGCTTCTGCAAAAGCCTCATAAGGGTTCCGCGAAAAAACTCAAATTCAAAATGAAACCACACGAGGTCAACTATTTGATTGCCAGTTGGCATCCAAGCATTAAACAAGGAAAAGCACCACATCAGTTGATTCCTAGGACTCTGTTGCATTGTGTTGTAATAATTGAAAGAATTCATTTTGTGATATTACCATATAATTGCTTTATTGTTTTGTTATATTTAAAATGTTTTCTCTTTATTCCCAAGCCTGCTGCGTTATGCAAAGTGCTCAGGCAATAGGAGCAGGTGAAAGAAGGAAGAACATTGTGGGTTCACAATGCTTAGTAAAAATCAGGGGTAGAGTTAGGGTTCCATTGGGGAAAAAATGTTTTCAGAACGGTTACATGGCTGAAAAAGTTGGGAATCACTGGTCTAGTCTACCCAGGGAAAATCCCAAGCAAGGCATGAGTGCATCAGAGGGGGTGAGTGGGTGGGGGGGTGGGTGGGGAGGGGAGGGGATGGGATGGTGGTGGACAGAACATCACCGCCCTCCTTCCTCGCTCCTCCTCCATTCTCTCCCCTGTCCTCCTCTTTCTCTCTTGCTCTTTCCCATCATCCTTCCACCCACTGAACTGCTGGAGGAAGGCAGAGGCTTCCTCTGACGGGGTGGCTTCCGGGGAGTTTTTGAAACTGGCTCGAGAGTGACTGTAAGGGCTGCAGCTTGCATGCCCCTACACCATGCTGCCACGGAGAAGCTTCGGAAATTAATCCGTTAACTCACTCACTCACTCCCCCCACTCCCTGTCAGGCAAACGCCTGGCCAGCCCCAGAACAGACCCGGGTGTCGTCGTTCCCCACGCTGCAGTCTCCTGTGTGCTTGGGGTGGCTTGTTCCTGGCAGGGAGCAGGCAGAATGAGCTTTCTTGGAGCTGTCTGTGGTGCTGAACAGCACCTCCCTGTTTCAAAGAGGCTCGCCCCTTGCCCAGCTCTTGCAAAGCTCACGAAAGTCGCCCCGCATGAGAAGGCCCCCTGACATAGGTGCAGCCGGACTCCCCTTCCCCCTCGTGGTTCCTACTTGAGCCCCCGTCCTGCTTCCGTCGTTGCACCAGAGGAGAAGCAGCAACGCAGGGTCCTTGGCACACGACTGATTCCTGCAGAAGACTTCCTGTTTGTAGGAACGCGTTGCTTGTCATCTGAAAGCACGGCGTTCCTGGGGCTTGCAGATGGTTCTGACGTGCTGGCAAGGCATAGGCAAGCCTCTCCCTTATTTAACCTGACAGCTTTTTCACTCGGCTAATAGATCTTGTGCTTTATCCTAGCCACAGGCTCTCGAGACGGCGGTGCATGGGTGGCTCCTATTAACTTCTGCTAGAAAGACAGTCGCTCGTTTCCCAGAACACCTGAACTGGTTGGAGTGGTCTCTTAGGGAGTGAGAAACTGTGTTCAGGAAACACGCTGCAAGGGACCCTAATGAGTTTTTAGCCCCCTCCCTGCTATGGAACCCAGACTCCAGAAGGATTTGGGGTTGCTTTACAGGAGGCTGGGGAATCCTATGTTAATGGAGCACCTTATTCACTGTGGCTTTCATTTTGAGCTGAATAGGAACGATCCATGGGGCTGAACTCCAACCCCAAGGTAAGTTCCCCTCCAGTAAGTACCCTGGCAAGCTCCCATCCAGCTCAAAATAAAAGCTGCACCGAATAAGGAGCTCCACTGATGTTGTTTAATTATATTTCTATAACATTTAATAACCAAAGCATTCTCGATAGCTTACCAGCGCACAGAAACGCGATATAAAATGTGAATACAGAGAAAAACAAAAGCTGACTTTAAAACCTAATTTAAACATCCTCCATCACACAGACAAAAAAACCCAAAGGAACTGTTCAAGAGTCAGTGTAATGCTCCAATGTAATATAAAACTGAAGAGATGCCCTATTGTAGAAGGCCATCATATTCTGGCACCAAAAGATATGAGAGTTGGCACTGGGGAGCTAAATTCCTAACCGGGTGGGGGCACCACTGACAGAACCCCTCCCAGAGAATTGGCAGTCCCCAGAAGCACCTCCTGCAGACTGGTGCTCTTCTTTATTTATATGACCTAATGCTTTATATGCTAAAATCTGCTGACGGGCACATCATGGGAGCTGTAGGCCCTTTCCCCATCTCAGCACGTACATGATCTTGCCTTCTGTGCTTTTCAGTAAAGTACATACATAGTGGAATGACAAACGTATAGGAAAATATGAAGCATTAAGACAGAACAATAAACAGTAAAGCAGAGCTGGAATGTGACCTGTTACATGTTTGCAGAAGCAAATACTTTTTCTAGATGCATTTGGGACTTGCCATACTTTTCCCCTCTCAATATGCACCTGCCGTGGCTTCATTTGAAGCCCTCTTTTCCTTTCGGATTTGGTTCATTTTGGGTCGTTCAGTTGGTAGAGGACGGATCTGTGATTTCACAAACTTGCTACCTCGACTTGGACTTGAATGTTTTATAATGCATGCAAACTTAGGAAGCCTCAAAAGGGAGCGAAGAGAAGCATTAAACCTCCAACCCTCTCTCTTTTTCTTAGGATGATACCGAACCCTATTTTATTGGGATATTTTGCTTTGAGGCCAGCATCAAAATAATTGCACTGGGGTTTGTCTTTCACAAAGACTCATATCTCCGAAATGGCTGGAATGTGATGGATTTTGTTGTCGTCCTTACAGGGTAAGTGACTCTCCGCCTCCCTCCACTGTTTTCTCCCCTCTCTAGGGCTCTTATTAAATCTGTTTAGGGTTTGGTTCCTTTGCGGCTTCTTATTACTATCAGAGAGGTGAGACAAAGAACATGATACGTTTCAGATTGTATAGTGAAATACCATTTAAAGGTGTTACTGTTCATGTTAGTGTTTTTGTTGTGAAAGTTTGGTGTGCTTTTATTTGGTCCCAGCTCTGAGTATGTTCCTTTTTAACCCTGTGATGATGGATCTCACTTGGAAGGCAAGGCGGTGGTAACTGGTTTTACATGAAGGTGGTGTTCCAAAACTATAGGATGCTTTTGAAACAAGAAATAGTTTTTGGGAAACAATTGCAGTGGCTGCTACATAAAAAGATCCAACTGGTTTTTGCAGGGTTCTCTTATGAAAGGGCAGGAGGATAAAGAGTCATGGCGGATCACGGATGATTAGAAAATGATCTAGTCAATTGGTTTTAGGGGAATTAGAAAATATGTTTGGTTTGATGAAGAGGGAGAAATTAAGTTTGTTGTTTGGTTGTGGCAAGCTGTTGAATTGTGTCATTTCTGCCCCCTGTGCCACCTCACCTGGGTTGTTCCAGTTCTTGACAAGTGTACAGCTGGGAGTTAACTCAGCGCTGGGTCTGAGTTGAACTATCTGAACGGCATAATTTGCTGATTGCTCCTCTGCCTCTGTACTCCACTGTCCTTAGCTGTGCAACCTTTGGTTGATCATGAGCACAAGAAGAGGTTTGCAGGCTCAGATTAAAGGCCGTCCAGGGACCAACCATGTACCTCTCGGAAGCTCAAAAACAGGATGTGAGCAGCGCCCCCAAAGGAACTTAAAAGCATGCTGCCTTTGATCTCTGAAAATAGTATGCAGTCATCTTGCCTGGTCCTTGATGGTCCTCCATAAATTTGTCTGTCATCATCATCATCATCATCATCATCATCATTACTGTTGTTGTTGTTATTATTCATTGCAATTTTGCATCCCACCTTTCCCCTCTTATGAGGAATTCAAGGAAGTAGATGCCGCTACAGTTCCTGCTTACACAAACCTCACTGTGTGATGGGCTGGGGTGAGAGTCTGGGATGGGTCCAAAGCGCCGTCTTCCTGCAGCAACTGAACCCCTTTGAATAAACTCGGGGAAGTTGCGAGTCCCCTCGAGCACTTTGCAAAGGAGAACAGCTGGGGTGTGCATGTAATGTGACGAAGGGTGTGGGAGGCATGAGAGAGCAAAAGCTTTGGACGCCCTACCCCCAAACTAGCCCGCTGCACTCATCCTGCCTCTCCCGCTGAAATCCAGTTCAACCTCCAGGGTGCTCAGTGTGTGTCCTGCACTGAATCACTGTCACAAGAAAGGCCTGCCCCACGGTTATCTTTCGGGGTTGCTTGCCCTTATCTCCTGTTTGGCAAAACCTGCATGCAAGGGGGGGAAGCGGGGGGGGGTGCTCTGGGGACCTGTCTCCTCCACGCTGCTTCAGTCACGGTGGATTTTTCTAGTTGGGTACATTAGCGATGGACTGCACAGCCCGAGCTTGCAGGAATTCTCGTGGAAACGCTTTCCCCGTTCCGGAAAATGACGTGGGCCCTTTCTCTCGCTTTGCCTTCTTGCTGTTACTCTGAGCACCGTTTGATCTTTGCCTCTAATTGCACAATAGCGGTTTGATTAGACAGCCTGTAATAAGAAGCCGTGTTGCTGTCATCAAACACTGCCCCCCTTTGAAGCACAGGGCTGTGAATGTCAGGGCTTTGGGCTCCCGCAGGTGATTCTAGCTGGGCTCTGTTGAAATGGCCTCGCACAAGGGCTTCCCACCAGGCAGGCAGCAGGGGGATACTTGTGTATCTACTCCCTGACATTTCTTTGCGGAAGCCCCACATGGGAAGTGGCTGTGTTAACTCCAGCGCCTGCCATTTCAGCTTGTCAGAGCGAGGGCAGAAGGAAGCGGCTTGGTTTACCCTGCTCTCCCCCCCACCCCCCCGCCCCATACGCCTCGTTCCCGTGGCAAGCCATCCCCGCGTGGTAAGCGACCCTCGTGGGGATTCGTGGCCTCTTTGTAGACACGGAAAATCAGGTGTTGGTGAAAAAGACCAGCACTGGCTTGCTCGCCGACGTGGAGAACAACGTGCAAAGCCGCCTCAGTCCCAGTCAGTCTGCCGGCAACGCCTCTCCAGGGTTTCGGACCGGAGACTTCCTGCATTCGACCTGGAAATTCCAGGAACGGAATATTTGGCATGCAGAGCGTGTGCTCCGTTGCCGAGCTGGGTGCGGGTCCGTGACTTGCTTTGCAACTGTGCTTTTCGATCTGCGATGTTGGTGTTTTTGGAGAACTGCTGAGAGACTTGGCAATGGTGCCAAGTCCACTTGTAGGACCGACCTGGAGGCGAGGGGAGGGCAGTCCTTAAATGGCGCAAACGGCCCCGTTTCTTCGCTCCAGCTCTCCTCATGAGCAACAAGGCACAGGGTGTCTGCTCTGGTGTTCAGGGTTGCCAGGTCAAGATCATGTAGAGCTACCAACTGGGGTTGGGGACATCCATTCACAGGTCAGTTGGAAGCAGCCCTTCCTGATGAAGCTTAGAGGAAGGATTTGCGTCCATTTTCAGCAAAGCAGCATCTATCCCTGACGCCAGAGCTCCAGCCCTTTTAATTCAACCATGAAAACAAAAACCCAAGACCTTCAGCCACCAAGTGAATTACTGCTGTGTGTGTATTCATGTCCACATTACCTGTTGGTTGCTTGTATCAGTCCAAAACACAATCGCCACCAACACTGAGAAATTAAGGACCCCCTTCTCTTCCCCCACCATCCACTGCGTCCCAACATAATGATCTGTGTTTTTGCCTGTCAAACTCAAGACATTAGAACTTGTTAATTAGAAAATAAATCAGAAGTTTGGCTTATCTTCTGCCAGGATCAATATTGTATCGAGCTAAACTGGAGCCTAATAGTTTGTAGCCTAAAATGGCTTGTTTTACCGATCCGGAAAGCGCTTTCTCAGTTTCCCAGAACAAGATGCATGGTGCCACTTTCTTGTTTACTTTCAGGGAAAGCCATTTGATGATTAATAGCCGCAAGAGATACAAATAGATATATTTCCTCTAGCAGATTATCTTTCCTCTGAACATGGATCTCGAAATTCCTTGAGCTGCCTCTGGGTACCAAGGCACCATTCAGAACTTGGAACCCAATGTTCACTTGAAGAAGTACAGCCAAAAAGGTGGAGTTAGTTTGTATTGTTTGGCTTTCCTAGTACGATGTGAGGGAAAGGCAAAGGCAGAAGAAGGAAAGAAAGCCCCGCTCTGAGCTGGGCTGGCTCCACCAAGGAAGTCCCAGCTTTGAGTTGACAAGATCTGGACAGGGCTATTGCACCCAGGAATTTTTGGAAGGCCTCATTCAAAGGGTCACCATGAGTTGGGGACAACTTGATGGCAAATGTCCCCCACCTTTGGATGTTTAACATCTCAAGTTCCATCCTGGTTAGACAAATTTGCAACTGTTTGTTTTCTTATATAAAAAAGAAAAAAAACAACAACCCACCAGTTCTCTCATGTTGGCACCAGCCAGATTCAATAGTCACCAGTGTTCCCAGTCCGGAGAGGACTACGTGGGATTAAAGATGATGATCTTTAATCTGTCTGCCAAGGGAAAAAATGTGGATGCCAATGCCACATAATAAGCAACACGGACATAGTTGAATGCCCGTGCGTTTAATCCCCATCCTTAAACAGCTAAGCACCAGACCCAGATGGATGAATCTGCTAGTTTCTGTTACTCTCATGGTCGGCCTTTTACAAAACTCAAGTTTGTCCCATCTCAGGTATGAAGAAATTTGCAGGTGTCAGCAAGTTCTCATTTACAAAATTATCTGGACAATATTTTAAAGAATCTAATTCTCCTAGTCTGTTTGGATCTGGGAAGGCTGGAAGGAACCTACTCCTGCTTTATCCAGTTCCTTTGGTGGCTTAGAAGGCCATAGATTCACAGTGGGCCGTGCCTAGGTCATGAAGAAGAGGGCGATTCCTAGATTTGTAGAGGCAGGCCATGGCTTGCAGAAAAACCCTTGTGTGTGTGCACACATGCACAACTGGGAAATTGGTGTGAAAGGATTTGGGGTGGGCAGAACTATGTTTCCAGCCCTGCCAGTGAGTAAGGTCTTAGGCAGACTGAAGAAGCAACGCTGATATGACTGAGCGTGAGTTGGATCCCCACTTCAGAACTCCACAGAAGGTGGAGGCCATGCTCAGCTAGCACCTCTGCCCCCAGTCAGCCAAGAATCCCTCCTTTGGCTTGGACAGGACAAGGCCCTTTGGACCCCCACCCCGGTTCTGGCTTCCTCGAAGCCTGCAAGCCGCGGGTTGTGCCAGACAGACAAGGCGAATTAATACTCAGCTCTGGCATTGGGCATCCAGGCTGGGTGTTATGCTGGGCCACCCCAGTGCAGCTGAATAGCTGGACCAGCTTCCTTTCCTCCCCCCCCGCCCCTCCCTCCACCTTGATCTTGCCACAAGAAGCACGTCTGGAGTTGAAATAGCCAGAGAGTCTGCAAGTGGTACAAACATTATTTGCGTTGTTGGTTCTATTAGCAGAAGCTAAAGATGCTGCAGCTTTCTTGGCTGACAGGGGATGAATTAATGGCCCTGATGCTTCAAAGGCCAAGGGAGAGAAGCCAGAGAGTGTGAGAGCAGCCTCTTTCCATTTCCCCCTCCCCGGCTGGCTGCTGCGGTGCAGTGCCCAGAAGCAGCTTCCGGGGGCAGTGGTGAGGGGGCACTTCCTCTTCCCCGCAGGGTCCCGGACAGCAAACAGCAGGACCCGTTTGCAGGGAGGACATGGAAAATGGTTTTGCACCAAATTCGGGCTGCTGCCCCATCTAGCAGAGCGCTCTGTGGTTTTAGGCACGCTGCTTTCCCAGCTGACGGGGGGAGGCTGGCCTCTGATGTCCAAGGCCCAGGTGAGCAGCTTCTGATGCAGCACAGTGGACCAGTGGCGAG